GGCCACCAAAGGCCACATGCGAACCCAGGAGCAGGTTAGCATGAAAGTCAAGTTGGTCCGGGGAGACCCCCAACTCTGAGCCCTGAGCTTCCCCTCCCCCTTCTTCCCCTTGCTTCCCCCTTCAAGTTCCCTCCTCCCAGGTTTCCCCCTCTCCTCTCCCACCCTCTCTCTTCCCCTCTCCCACCTCCTTTTCCCAGTCTCCCCAGAGGTTCATCCCCTCCTCCCCCAGTTTTGTTCAATAAACGCAGTTTCTATTTTTGAACATACGTGTTTTTTATTTGACATCAGGAAGGGGAGGTAGGGAGGAGTAAGTGGAAGGACGTGAGGGAGAAATGGGGCATGAGCCCCCAGTGGGGAGGACCAGGGAGGCTCTGATGGCTCCTCGGGGTGGATGCTCTTCCCTCAGGGCCTCCTGGATCCTGACAGCTCCACGATGGAGCCTCCGGATGGCAGCCAGGTTGATGGTAATGACCCCACGAGACACACTGGCGTGCCCAGGGGCAGGTCTGGCTCCATGTGGCCGAGTGCTGTGGTGTCCCGAGTCTGGGCACTCAGGGCACTCCAAGACAGGACTGCTTTGCTGTCCCTCATCGAGGTAGACAAGCAAGCAGAGAACTCTGAGAACTGTCTGTCCAGGTTGGGGATAGGGTCCCTTTAAGCATGGAGCTCAGTTAACCTCAGGCAGCAGTCCCACACACTAAGTCCTAACCTGATGCCCTGCTGGCACTGGTTCCAGCAGGCTTAACTTCAGTTCAGGGTCCACTCAGTGTGGACAGCATTTTGCTATTTCAAAATAGCACATTTCGAAATAGTTTTTGTGTATAGATGCATTATTTTGAATTAGCTTAATTCAAATTAACTATTTCGAATTAAGTTAATTCAAAATAGCGCTGTAGAGTAGACATACCCTAACAGAACAGAAATTATGCAAACATCACTTTTCGTGCAAAATATAGAAAATCTATGTTCTTTCTTACCAACAACTGTGTGAACAGAGGCAATACACTTGTTGAAAGTTTGATTCGACACTGGATTTTGAACCTGTTGACAAAGCAATACATGTCAACAGTTGTGGATTAAGACAAAATTAACCTAGAGAAAAATGCACCTCGTAGTAACCAAAAGGCTGGCTCAAATTCTAAAAATTATTAATGCAATTTTAAACAAAAACAAACACCCTGGATTTTCCCAATATTCTGTTTTAATTTTGCATAACAATTTCCTTATTTAGTATGAATTAAGAAGTCTGCCCTAAGATACACTTGTGCAAATCCAATGGAGTGGTCCTGGTGTGAGTGACAAATCTCAGGTTATTGTTTCATAAAAAATTCAAGATGCAAAAATCCTTCCATTTTTGCTGAGGCCTCTTATGAAGTAGTACAAGCATGAAATGGTTCTTTTGGTCCATCGGATACATGAAAACAATGTTCTATATGCAGCTCCACAAATTGTTGTTTCCTGACTTAGCATTGTGTATTCTGGGGCTAATCAAATGAACTTCACAACTATAAAAAAAAAAAATGAAGTACTAGTTACTTTTCCTCCTTGATTAAGTTAGATAGCAGGTTCATGGCACAACTAGCCCTTTCATCCATAACACTGACAAATTCAATCAGAATCTGCAGCCACCTGTAAGAAAATGAATAATGTTCAAATCAGAGAGATTATACAAATATGCACCCAGGTAACATTTACAAGAACATCTAACTGATTTAGGAGCCTAAGTCCCATAGACCTCTAGTGGGATTTAGGACCAAATCCTCAGTTGATTTTAATCAGTATAGCACCATAAAATCAAGGAAGCCAAGCTAATTTACACAGCTGAGAATCTGGTATAAAGTTTTCAAAAGATTAAAGCTTAGTCACTTAGACTCATAGACCTTAAAGTCAGAGGAGACCATCATGATCATCTGGACAGGCCTCCCCAATATGGCAGGCCACAGAACCTCACCCACCCACTCCTGTAACAGACCCCTAACCTCTGACAGCATTACTGAAGTCCTCACATCCTGATTTAAAGACTTTGAGTTACAGAGAATCCATCATCTCCATTGGTTTAAATCTACAAATGACCAACGCCCCACGAACTTTCAGTTCTGTTCCTTCAGCTGCAGTTGTGGATACACAACCCCTATGAGAATAAGCATCACATGTGCATTTTGCACACCTGACTTTTCCGACAATCATGCCCAGACACTCTTCAAAAGTAGACACAAGGATTTGTCACAGTATTTTAGACCATAATGAAATTAACTGACATTATTAATAATAAAAGCAACCAAACTTTCCTTCAGACATAGGTCATCTCTTTAACCTTCCTTTTGATTACAAATGCCTCCAGATCAATGTTGTGCATTCTTTACTAAAGTATGTGCATCTGTTTAATCTTCTTTGCTCATCAATTATATCCAACTATTTCATTTAAACCAGCCCATTAAAATGTGTGCCCTGTTCAATTGCAGAAGTAGATGATGCTACAGTAGCACAGAGATAACAGACTGTGGTTTCTTTCTCCATTCAGTGAGTCATTGCAATCCTCTGAATAATCACAAATTTCAGTTATTGGATGATGAGAGACTCAGCTTGAAACTCGAAGACATTCAAAGATAATTTCATAAGCTCTCAAGTACACATATTTGACTGTCACCTTAGGGAAGGTAATTAAGTCACACTGCATAAGAAGTGCCCTGAGGTTATCTAAACAGTTCCAGTAATAAGCCCTTTTTTATTCAGTTGTGAAAATGAACTGCAGAAAGTTAGGATGGCTTTCCTCATACTCCTAAATATTGTAAGTTGAAACATGCTGCATGGTCTTCTTCTCACCATTAGGGCTGTAAATGTGTAACCATTTAAACAATTAACTGATAAGCATGAGATTATCGGTTACTCTAACGATTACACATTGGCTCCCAGCCCCACTCTCAGGGATCTGACTGCCACCCCATGCTGCTAACTCTGTATCAAACCTAGCAGCACGGGGTGGCAACCGGCTCCTGTGAGCGGGCTGGGAGCCAACTTAAAAGCCAGCTCCTTGTGCACACTAGCTCCTAGGGAGCTGACCACTGCCCCGCACTGCTGCCTCTGATATAGTGAAGCACAGAGTGGGACAGCAGCTGGCTCCCCAGGAGCAGGACAGAAGGCAGTGCACAAGCTGGCTTAAAAACTGGCTTCCAGCATGCACTGGCTCCTGAGGAGCCAGCTGCCGCACTGCACTGCGGGCTCTGCATTATAAAGCTTATCTTGCAGAGCCCACAGTGCACCTGGCTGCCTGGGAATGGGACTGGCAATCAGGAACCAGTCCTTGCATGAACTGGCTGTTGGCCCCACTCCTGAGGAGCCTGCTGCACTGTAGGCACTGCAGTATAAGCTTTATTCTGCAGAGCCTGCAGCATGTAACCACTAAGCTGTTTGCAGGGAGGGATAGCTCAGTGGTTTGAGTATTAGCCTGCTAAACCCAGGGTTGTGAGCTCAACCTTTGAGGGGGCCATTTAGGGATCTGGGGTAAGTCTGTCAAGGATGGTACTTTGTCCTGTCATGAGGGAAGGGGACTGGACTTGATGACCTCTCAAGGTCCCTTCCAGCTCTATGAGATAGGTATATCTCTTTATAGCTGTAGTAGTACCTGATTAACTGCTTTTTAACATCCCTACTCACCATTGTTGCTCCCTTTGGTTTAGTGTTTTTGTTTAGCTGGTGCTGTTACTTCAGAAACTTTCCAGGGATAGTTCTGATGACAAGCTGAAGAAATCAGGCATGAATTGGGGGAATCCAAGACATTATTAGGTGTAGGTTTGTGAACTTAGCACCTGTGAAAAGTACCTTAAGCCCTCTGTTTTCCTGTGGGTAGGTCACTAGCCAGAGGGCATCAGACTCAAGCGACCTGGGTTTAAATCTGCTGCTCAACCATAGACTTCCTGGGTAACCTCAGGCAAGATATTTGGTGTTTCTATGCCTCAGTTTTTCATCTGTAACGGGGCAATTGCCTCACAAGCGTGCAGGGAAGATAAATGCATTAAAGACTGTGAGGTGCTCAGATCACAAAAGTACCTAACATACCTAGACACACTTCCCTGGCACTGTACCTCACCCGATCGAGGGGCACCTTTAGGGAAGAGTGGAGGTAAGTATCACTGGCCCAGTCAGTCTCCGGCCTCCAAAGTTGAGGTAGACATCAACTGTGCCGATTATTACCACCCATATTAGTGGTTTCTCTCATATGAACAAGAACATAGGAAGTGGGATGCCACTACCATATTCATTTGACAGAGGTCACAAAATGGCCATCAGAGGGAACTGACTTTCAGCTCCTGTTTTCCTGAGCTACGTTCACATTCATGAGACGTTCTGTGCTACAGAAGACATTCCTGTTTTCAGGTCAAAATTCTCTGCAACCTCAGGGAATTAGCATCCAATCTGACTATGGGAGCCAGTATCAGAGCCCTGTTTTGAACAGTGGTGGCCATGGGGTGAAAGGGCACATGATGGGTCATCTCGGGTGCCACTTTTAATTATACTGATTGGCTTGGAAAGGCATCATCACCCCTATGCCTGACGTCTGCTGGGTGAACCACAGAAAGTCCACCCGTAAGGAGAATTTAGCATCAAGACACTTTTTGAGCTGGACTTTATTTCCCCTTGGATACTGAAGTGCTCCCCCCGGGCTTGGATGACTTGCAGATAATGGTGCCGGAAATTTTGTCCAGGAATCCTGTAATTCTAATCTAGTTCATTTGGGCCATAAATTTCAACTTTTCAAGTGACAAGGCTCACTCAGCATGAGTTCCTTGATGTATGTTAACCGTCAGTTGCGGACTGCAAGCATACAACTGTTCATGGATTCTAGCAGAATACCGTACGTGGTTAGGTTCTGGTGCCTGACCAGCAGATTTCTTCCATTCTCAGTCTGAGAGTACAAAGACAGCAGTGCCAAGCTCTCCTTCTGAATCTCAGGCACATAAGATGATAGCAGCATGGGAAGCTGCACATTCACATCAGGGTGAGTTAACAGCAATCGCTGATTCTCCTCTGAAAAAGAAAATGTCTGTGTTGTACATCTTGTGCCATAAAATCCTTGTACAGCAATTAAATTGGAACCTGTAGAAAATCATTCAAATGGATTAGCATCTTTACTTCATCCGCTGTACGGCCATTACTCAACATGACTGGCATACAGGAGAATTCATTTCATATGGTATTGCTTCAGGGAAAGACAAGCCTAGGATATTGCCTTCCATCCGTTACTCAGACTCCAAAATGGACCGAGCAGCTGGCTTTAGCATATACATGCAATCTTCACAATCTGTTGTTATTTGCACCAGTTCAACCTCTTGGACATCAGTTGGGTCACATGGGTGTAAATCAACACACATTTTGGCTGCAATTCTTAAATATTTTCCTTTTGTGTCATTTGCAAGGTATACCATCTCTTACCTTGCTATTCTCTTTTTGCCCACCACAACCTCTCTAGAATCACAGGGTAGAAAGCCCTGGTACACACCCATTACACTGTGCCAGTGAGTGTAGATTCTTGGGGTGCTAACAGGGTGTGCTTCATCATTCTACAGGGGCACCTATATGGCATTCAGCCTCACATTGCTGTAATTGGTTAATAAAAAGCACCTCAACTGACAAAAAGAGCATAGGCAAAAATTATAATAATAAAAGTTCTTTCCATGAGTTAAATACTATTCCACAGGGAATACTATTCCACAGGGAAAATGCACATGGAATCTCACCACCAATATTTTGCTACCACTCTTGGTACCTACACGAAACTTCCATGGCAAGAGAGCAAAATTTTGCTTGCACAATCACATACACTCTGGCTTCCTATTTTACCAGAATAGATATGAAAATACCAAACCATGTGTTTGCATCTCTCAAAGGGCCCTTCATACCATAATAAAGTGGAATGAAAACTGCAGCATTTGGAGAATGGACAGAGTTCAAGGCAAAACATCCACAGTCAGACACAAAGAGCCACAATTTTAACTTAAGTAGCTACTAGAGATGTGAATATATACATGTAGACATGATTACACAAAGCCCTCTCTGTTGATTTACACCATCTAAGTATCCAGCCCTCTGTTTTAACAGTTAGGCTGAAATAGGTTAAAAACACACTGGAAAACACCACGAAGGCTCAAATTTGCTCCAGACATCAGAATACTTAAGTGAATAAACAGCAAGTGTCTCCTCCTTGCTGTTCTACACTCACTTTATTTGTTGAGGTGCACGTTTGTGCATTCCTAGGAGGGGCTGGTTACAAGCCCTTCTTACTACACACCACTTCTGACATTAGCTAACCAAAGCTAGACATTCCAGCAGAAAGGGAAGAATTAGTTCCTGATATTTAGGTAGTAATGGTGCAAGACATTAACCCAAGACCAAATGATGTTCATAGGACTGGAGCCCACTTCAGCCACTTCAATAGCTTTAAGCCATCCATTAAAATGAGTAATAATTTCATTGCCTTGGGGATCCAGAGCCAGAATTATACATACTACAAGCGCTATGCCTATAGCGGTTGCATCTGACCTGTAAATCTGCAGTGTGCTGCAAGGTCTAGACTCAAGTACTCTGGGGAGAGATGTTAATTGAAAACAATAATTTCAAACATGGTCAGGACCATATTAATAGTACATTAACAATGATTAATGCTGATTACACAGACTTACCATTCCCATTACAGACTGCTTGCCAGAGGATGAGAAGAGAAAGGGACAATTCCACTTCAGCAGTGTTTTTCTTTGCTACAGAGAGGCCCCTGCAATGAAAATATTTATCTACAAAACAGCAAAGGAAAGAGGAAAATGTGAAGTTAGAGGAACCCCAAGGACTTCTCTACCTGAGGATTTGCCCCAGGATTTTCTTTGTAGTTGCCAAGTTCCAAAACTGGCTATTTTGATAAACATGTTTAGGCATGCTGGTTCCAGTTCCCAGTCAGACTCTTTGCCACTGGCTTTGGACCCCTGTTGAGACTGAATTCTGAGCTCATCCCTATGGATCAGTGAGAGCTGGGATCACTGAGAAGCCACACACTCAAGTGGATAAGGGGACAGACTGCTTCACGCCTCAAGCAACCACCAGTGGCTGACAGAGTGACATGGATAGACTCTGAAGGGATCACCATGATGCAACCTTATTTGGAATCCTAATGCATCACCCCCCACCATTTCAGCATCCTGAGACCACCTCAAATCTCTCTGTGATGGACCCATCTCAAGGAAACAAACATTTCTGGTTGACATATCTTTTGTGTAACATGTTGCAGCCAACACCTAACTGAGCCCTTCTCAAATATACCATCCATGAATCAATCATCTCGTTCCCCAAATAATTTTTATAAACAGATTTCAGTACTAAACAAATGGCTTTGCTCTCATGCACAGCATATTACCTTTCATCAAAGAGGGAGATTAAATAGCAGAAGGGCTTAAAGTCAAATAAGGTCACCATTGCTTGACTAGTACAGTACAGTACAATACAACAAGCAGTCAAGAAGAAACAACTAATAAGAAGCAGAAAGTATAAATCTTGGATGAGCCTTTCCCTCAAGTATAGGGCTGACATGGGTGCCCAGAAACAGTTTTGCAGCTTGCATTAGGGATCTATGCAGCCATATCCCCAAACTGGTCTAAGTCAGCATAGCTCTTTCAGCCTTGGTGCAGCTGCATCAATTTACCCCAACTAAGGATTTTGCTCTCAGTGCATTAAGTAACTGAGTTGCTGCATCTGAGATTTGTTTATGTTAAGTTTTACAAACCTGCTCTCATCTTTGCAGCTTCACAGAGGATCTAAAAGGACTAACCCTACAGAAGTATCCAGAAGATTAAGGACTGGAGCGGAAGCACAACAAGTATTTTGCTTGCCACATCCAAAAGAGCATTATTTTTCTAAAGGTCATATAGAAGTCAGTATCATCAGATGTTAAAATGCTATCACATCATCTTTGATCATTTCATCTGACTTTCAGAAGAGGTGATTTTTTTTTAAATATCTTTTCATTTCCTCATGTTGCAATGCCCCACTGTTCTTAGGAGATGCCTTACCGTCTTATGACCTTGTTGTCATTGATGATACTGAATCCATTGTTTGTTCTAAATAAAGTTTGTTCAGTGCCTGAAACAAATCAGAGATAACTACATCAGGCCAGCAATCCATCTGACCAATATATCATCATGAAGGCACACTCCTGTTCTCTGGAAACACAGTGTTAAGTGACAAGGTCACTGATTCAACAGCTTTTGAAAAAATTAAACACATTTGCATCATAAAAAATAGAAAATCCTCTACACTGTATTTGGAGCAAAAACAGCACTTAAGTTAAAGTAGATGCACTCTGATTCCTGTCTGTAATGGTGCAGAATAATTGACTCAATTTAAAGAGTTTTGCAAAGAGTCAGAAAGATTTAAACACCAAACAGGCTTGGCAAACCAGTTCATTTAATCTGTAAACATTTTTAAACTGAACAGCTGAAAAAGGATTCACATCAACACAAGAGTCCACATAGGATTGGAGGAGAGAGAGTAGGAAAAGCCCAAATGAGCACAGGCGTCTCTCAAAGCAGAATACAATTCCGAGAAGATCTCTCACATACTGGATGCTATTCAGTTTTAAGTCAGTAACACTAGAAAAACAATGTACATTTAAAGGGCTAGATTCTCATCCGGAGCAAGTTGGACAGTTCCATTACAGTATGCTTTAAAATTAAATAGCAAAAATTAGCTCCCCCTTTACTTATCTTCTTAAGACCAGTTCTGCCACAACTAATGATACCCAAGTACCTGTACTCTTTGCTGTAGATTTTAGCAATGTTATCAACATGTGCAACCAAAACACCTGAATTCAGAACTTAAGTAGAAATGAGTTTAAATAGATGTGTATATCTGCCCAAAATGTGAGTGGCTTTGGGTTTAGCATTCCATTTGAAGCCCATTTAAAAAGTCTTTCAAATTCAATGTACTCTTCCAAAGGCAAAATTCTGGTGATTTATCTGATCATTTCTTAACAAGGATTAATTCACTATCCTAGTGAACTGATCAATGGTGACCAGTTTAAAAAGAAAGTCCATGCTGAATACTGAATAGGTTTACTTGATTACAGTTTAGCATACATTCATGGGAAGAGTCTGCCATGTAGGTTTATTACTGACCATTTATTCTCATTTCCTAAACTATGGGGTGTCTTCTCTGATGTGGCACGTAATTCTCAAGGCCATAAATGGGAGATCTGCATGCATCTCCTCTAGGAGAAGCGAGCCGCCTTTCAATATTAAATTGACAAAGTAAATACTTCACATTATTTTGTGCAGTGTGCCTGAGTTGCATACAACAGTGCTCAGATTTTACCTATATGCATTTACTGGCCCAAAACTTTTGAAATATCAAGCTCATATTGTACTTATATTAAAAACAGAGATAGAGGTTTTATAGGCTTCAGCCCACTCTCATTAACGACTTCTATCTACTTGGATCATGTCCCAGGTCAGCTCACTGGACAGACTGATTTGCATAAAATACTTACAATCTTTTATTAATTCAGTCAAAACTCGAATCCCGCCTGCATAATAAAGGATGTTCTGGTCAGGTCTATTGAGTTTCTGGAGCAGCTCTTTCATAGACACAGCAGTATACTTTCCAGACTGAAATTCCTCCAGAGCTTTCTCCTCCTCTTTTGCTTTTCTTTCATGCAAGTCTACTTCATTCATGCAGTCTTCAAAACCAAAAGAAAGAGAAGCTTAATTTAAGAGAAAATTAAGTAAAGAGACCACAATTTCCTGATACACATTAAGGACAGTGAGGAAAAAATAGAAATCAAATGGGATTTCATGACATTGACCAATAATATATGCTGAGCAAAATGAATATACTAATATTATTAATATGCATTATTGACACCCAAATACATTAATAAGCATTAAGCATACAATACAATAGCATTATAATGTTATATCTAATATATAAAGGAGAATGTTCGTATGTTTGTGCTCTAATAACTTGGACACTATAAGACCTACCGCAACCAAATTTTCCATGGGATAACCTTTCCTCCAGGAGAAGGTTTTAAGGTACTTTTGGACCCAATCGGGCCCAATCTCAACCTGTAAAAATAAAAAATAACCCGCGGCACTGCACTGCAGCGGCAGCCCCACCCACCCTAGGTCATGTGCCTGCCTCCTGCAGCCCCAAAGCGCTGTCCGGGACTCGCCCCACCCCCACGTGCACAACAGCTCAGGCATCCGCCCTGTCCCCCGCAGCTACAGTTACCAGGTAATCTTAAAAAAAGGGGCCATACTTGATGCGGGGGGAGAGGAGGGAGAGAGGAGCGGGGCTGGCCGGGAAGCAAGGTTGGTCGGGGGAGAGGGGGGTCGGGAGCAGCAGGGCTGGCTGAGGGAGAGGCAGGCGGGGGGAAGCAGAGCTGGTCGGGGGCAGCGGGCTGGCTGGGGGAGA